AAAAATGGGGTTTGGTGAAGCCATTGTGTCTTCCAAGTTTGTAAGAAGTGACAACTAGCAAACCATCTTTCCTAAATGTCTTTCTTAATCAGATAAACAAACCCCCAATCAACCGTGAGTTCTGCCAAGCTTCAGTCCAGCGCTTGGCAGTAAATGCAATCCTTCAGTTTTTGCCATCTCCAGGTATAAAGTTATCCAACAAGAGAGTTTCAGACATCACTGCTAGGCTAGTTTAAACTCCTCATAGCTGGCAAGAAGGAAACCTTCCATGCCCCAAGAATTGGACTTCAGCAATGCAAAAAAAAATTAAAAGACCCACTTTAAAGCCACGGATTTTTTCCTTCCATCTTTCCAAGAGGCTGGATAATTGGGGGTTTGTTTGGCGGCTTTAGAGATACAGATGTATTTATGTAATTGTGTCTCTAGTCTGAGATCTGCTCGTTGACGCCTCCCTGGATTCTGCTCTTGCCGGGAGCTTCTCTGAAAGTGGAAATTGGATTTCATTTAAATATCCCTAGAGGCCAGCAATCATGGTCTAGTTTTCCCCCAATTAACCCTTCTCCTAACAATTATGAGTCAGTCCAAAGTGAAGATGGAGACTCAAGGAACTGGTGAACCCAGACTTCTCAATATTGCCAAACCTCAATGCAAACCATTTTTCTTAAAAAAACAAAAACAAAAAATACAGATAGACAAAGGGGCTTTTATGACAATTCACCCACCCAATTATCTTTTTTTTCCCATCAACCTTCCTGTAGCAGTAGGACCTCATCTTTCTACAGTTTTAATCTACTGGCATGTCTGCGAGAAACTGTTTTGTTTTTTTTAATCTGGTATAAACAACAGAAAGAGAAGTACCACTGGAATAAGAACCTACTAAATCTTATAGTATAAATATGTTATGACAGGAAAAAGGAAACAAAATCCCTCAGGAGAGACACTTTTGGCCTGCTAGCAATTATTAACAACAGCTATTTGAAGATTCTTTAAAGAAGAATTCCTTTTTCTTGTCATCCATATTTATACGATAAAAAGATCTGTTTATTGGCTTTGAGATCAGTAATACATGAATCATTGTGACCCACATGGTCTCATTATCATAGCAACAAAAATCCTTAGAAAAGAAAGGCTACCAATAGCAGCAAAAATCTGATTAAATGGTTAAACGGGGTAATGCTGACATTTTCCAGTCTTAGTGGGGAGGAAAATGCTGGATAATGGGATTGTGATTATGGACCTCACATGTATAATGGAGAAAATCAAACCATCTGTGCATTTTCAAAAGGGATTCTTCTTTTCATCTACTGCATGGTAATAGAGTTACTGTAATGACCCGGGATATGGCACAAAGGCAACACAGTCAGATAATAAGAGTCCCTTTAGTAGCTCCAACTTTGCCCCAAATGTCCAAGTTACCTTCTGTCTGGAGAAAAACTCACCCAGGAACAGCCTTTGACTGCAGAAAATTAAGTCCAAAACATGGTCAACATGTCACTTTAAGTCCAATCAAGCCAAAATGAAGTAATTAGTTTGGCAGGGCAGGAGCAAGAATTTCAGACTTGAAAACACAGCAAAATCTCCAAATACCAGAAGTGACGAAACCAGAAGTATTGGAAGTGATGAAATGGCCCCGTTTTTTGGCCTCCAAAGGCTGCAGAGGCTTCCCTCCAGCCTCTGGGAGGCCGAAAAAGGCCTCAAATGGGCTGAAAACGAGCTGGGAGGCGCGCACATGCACAGTGCAGGTAAGTTTGACTGGGGCTCGCCTGCCTGCACAAATGGCTCTGTATGCCACCTGTGGCATGCATGCCATAGGTTCACCATCATGGCCCTATACCATTTCAGACAAGTGATTGTCCAATCTCTTCTTAAAATCCTCCAGTGATGGAGCACATCACAACTTCTGCAGGCAAGACTTCCACTGATTAATTGTAATCACTGTCAGGAAATTTCTCCATAGTTCTAGGTTGGATCTCTCTTTTAACAAGTTTCTTGTCCTGTCCTCTGGTCCTGTGGAGAATAAGTAGACCGAGTGCTCTCAGTGACTCTCTGCCCTGATCCTTCTCTTCGATAGTGTAGACATACCAAATTCCCTCAACCATTCGCCATACAATTTAACCTCCAGAGCCCTTATCTTCTCAGCTCTGAACTCTTATCTTTTTACCATTTATGGTGGACATGTGACAAAACAAAGAAATATTGGAGTAGCATTCATTTCTTAATACAGAAGATTCTTAAGGGGACTATAAAGATAAATTTGGAGACTTTTCTCTTGGGCATAATGGATAAAGAACTTGAAAAACAATGGAACTCTGCTATTATATGTGCTGACCAAGGAAGAATTACACACAGAAATGGAAGGATATTTTGATTCCCACAATGGACAAAGGGCTGCAAAAATGGATGGAGTTAGCGAAGGTGGCTAAATTGACTGTTTCGATTAAAGAAAAGGATCGTACAGTATTAACTTTGCTTCTGCTTGAAACCTCTTCTGGACTTTGTGCTTAAGGTAGAAAAAAAATGGAAAACTTTGTTAAAGTTTGTTAATCTGAGAAGGGTTTTTGTTGTGTTATTGAAATGGATCTGATAAAAAATGATGTGCATATTCAAATCCTTGGCAATGCTGAAATTAAAATACTTGAAATATTCCTCCTGGCCTTCATTTCTTACAAGCACACCATCTTGTCTTTGTCCTTACATTGCGCTCGACATCTGTGTTCAAAAAATATGCAGGTGCCCCTTCTCTAGTGTTACTAGGGGGTGAAAACCAACCCAAGTTCTTTTCCAAGGAAGGGTCTTCCGTGGATCACAGATCTCCACTGTCACCACAACAGAGAAAGGACTTGTGTTCTCCGATTGTGGCTCTGTTATGCAACCCAACTTCAAGCAGGTGCAATTTCTGCCTGCCTCTCTCAAGGGAAGAGGCCCTGTTACAGCCTCAGGTCAGAGAGAAATTGCTTATTATCTGAAGAAAAGGCTTCTTGTGCAGGCCTGGTCTTCTGAGAAGGCTGTGATATTCAGTGTGGTGTTTGATTTGCCTAGGGTGACTCCACACTGGACTCTGGCATTCCCAAGTCTTTCTAAACCAAGGGTCTTCAAACTTGGCAAGTTTAAGACTTGTGGTTGTGGACTTCAACTCCCAGAACTCCTGAGCTAACACAACTGGAGGA